AAATCTGAAAGAATTTGAGTCAACACAATAAAAGGTTAAAGACCTTTGAACTATTCTTTCAAAAAAATGAGTAAGCATTATGTTATTTATCATAAGTTTATATTGTACAGTAATGTATATTGTATTAAAGCTTTTTATATTATATATATATATATATATATATATATATATATATATATATATATATATATATATATATATATATATATATATATTTATTTATTTTACATTAAAAAAATACAAAAGGTAAAGAATAACCTAAGTTACATATGGAAATGGATAGCCCTTCCCCTAATAGTCTATTAAATCAAGGGTTTACTCTCTCTTTGTATGTGCATATATACATACACATTAATACACACGCACATTATATATATATATATATATATATGTCTCATGCCTTATTTAGACACAAGTACATTATATTAGATATAGATATTTTAGATGTATATGTCCTGATGAATGGAAATGCTGCCAAATTCAACATTCTCAAAAAAATAGACTGATCAGATGAACAGGTAGGTAAGTAGACACCGTGGGGCCTTATATAATACTATTTCCATCAGATGAACATGTAAGCAGACACTGTGGGGCCTTATAGAATACTATTTCCATATTGTTAGAACACAATTACAAAAGCAATAGAATGTGAAAGGGGAAGGACTTAAGTTTTAAAATGGTGGGGTAGGGTAGAATAGGGTCCCAGGTTTTAAACAAGATTATCCAATGATTACACCAAAATCTTTATCACCGATAAAATTAAAGAGTAAAGGAAATGCTGAAAGCTTTAGCAGCATATATTGTCTGCATACACTTTCAGGGAATATCTTTTAGAGGAAAAATTAAAGAGACGATAACTGAGAAATAGAAGAAAGTAGAGAGAGAATATTGCGGAGATAATTTCTATTATGATTTACTGTCTACCACCCAAGCAAGAGTTTGTTTAAAATGGAGCAAGGACATTAAAAATATTTGAACAAGGAAGGAAGGACTTATGAATCAGAGAGTAATAAAGTTCTTGGTTAGAGACAGACAGACAGACAAAAAGAATGACACTATTTGTCAGCTACAGCCTACATCTTTGAGCTATGTATGAAACACTGCAGGGAAAGATATAAAAGCTTTTCATCAAGGGTATTTTTCAGCTAAATATTGGGAATGAAAGTAAAATATATTTACATGATGAAAGTACATAGGTGAACCATGTTTAAAGTACTTTACCATAACTGTTCAATTGCTGAACAAAGGGGATATGAATATCTCATCAAGTTTCTGGGAAATATTCTATTCTGATAAGACATAAAAAAAAATGTGGAAACTTGATCTTGAATAGATTCTCTTTTCAGCAGTTATTTTAGTGTTCCAATTGACCGGAATATCTTTCTGCTGAATAGAATTTCTTCAAAAAGGATTTAAGCCCATTCAGGAATATGATTTTAAAAAGTGGGGTTGAGGTGGAAATTATGATTTTTGTTTACTGAGCAAAACCCTTTGTTTTAGCAGTAGATGAGAAACATTTGGATGAAAGCAATGAAGTACTTTTTTTTCTTTTTTCTTTAGATAGTATCTCTATTGCCGATATCTGGGTCAATAGTAGTTCTGGAAGAATGGACCCAAATTATAAAAAATATCTAACTGAAACACTCTTTAGAAACAGTGATGTTGCAAGATAAACCAACCCTTTTACTTTTAATGTCAACTTCTTTAGACATATGGTGAATACAACAGAGATCACTGGATCATCAGCAGCATACAACTTTAGCATCAGAGGATTTACTATTAAAATATGAGTTTACACTGAAATGAAAAGTACAATCTGCTTAAATATCAGTCCATTTTCAAATGCTAAAAGCATAAGAATATTTTAAATTATTGCAATATTTCTATAAAGTATGCCTTTCTTGTGAGCCTGAAAGATGTGTTACAAGCTCAAGCAATAAGGCAGATATGGTGTTTTTAAAAAGAACATAAATTTCATACTGAATATATTCTTTTTCAATAGTATACAAATAGTTTACGATTAACAACTTTTCAACTACAGTAGTTGATATTCTGATCACACACACACAAGTTTTTATGTGACTATCTTATAAAACAATAATATTCTCAGTATCAAAAGAAATATTCAGCACAAAATCCCTTTGCTAAACCAAGGAGATTATAAATACAATTAATCTCAATTTTTAACTAGCATATGCTTACAACCAAAGGAAAACTTCCACCTATGCAGAGATTCTTAAATAAATTTTAAGAGATAAACATTCTTATTTGGATACAATTTCTTTTAGAAAAAATATTTCTTTGCTTGAAACTTGAAGTAATTCAAACAAAACTGACTTATTCCAGATTGATTGAATTTTTATCTTAAGACCATTTAAAGTCAGGTTTTACTAACTTCAAATTGCAGTGATAAAAAAGCATTGTATGTTGAAATCAATTTACTACTTTCTCAAAATAACCATTTACATTTTCCTTACATCAATAAAATAATTACACATGT